TGCAACCCTGCGGCTGGCCAAAGCAGCAGCTCCAACATCCTCCAACAAACATAGCACCAGTGGGACGGCACCTGGAAGATCAGCTTCCTCTTAAGGGCAGCCCCTCTGAGTTGCCATGTTGGAGGGAGGGTAAGCGCCTGTTTGGAACATGCTGAAACCCAAGCTGAACAAGTGCATCAGCATATGCTTTGCCCATAGCGCACGGCTAGCCTCTCCGACTCTACATTGACACATGCTATTGTTTTGGAATGGCGCCAGTCACCACCGAGAACTAATCAGAGTAACTCCCTGCCGTATTGCGCAAAAGGTTTGCCGTTCAATTAGGAGCCAGTCAAATGGCTGGGTTCATTCTCATATACCGAGCCCAACTAAAAAGAATCACACCCATACTCCCATACTGATATGTAACAGTTGTTCGTCGATACATCCTAACTGGAGCCCAGGACAAGCATTCAAGGCGACCATATTCACGATACCTTCTCCAAGCGTCACATGGAGCAGCGTCGGCAGCAAACAAAATCCGGGGAAAGCAGTGCAAACAAGATAAGAACCGCATTCTGATGCTCCCAAGTTCTTCACAAGCTTCCAGCGTCGGGGAGAAAAACAAAAGCTGGGGCACTGACTGCGTCCAGCGAGGGTTGTGGCCAAGCAGCAGTTCACCCTTGATGGTTGCAAAGTGTTCCTCCAGAAACTCCGCGATGGGCAGGCGGGCGCTCCAAATGGGCCCCTGCTGCACCACTGAGGCCGGGAAGTAGTCGGCATTGAGACTGATGTGGTGTGGCGAGGCCAGAACTCCTGCGAAAAGCTTGGTGAGCCTTCAACATGGCATGCAGAAGTCGTACATGAACGTCTCAGGGCACTCCCGGAACGTGTAGACCCAAGTTCTGGAGCCCAATGGGGCATGGTGCTTTGTCATGGGAGCTTTCTCATGGGACAATGTCCACCTCTGATTAATAAATAGGGCCCACCCCCCCGAATGACCCTAAATAAAGTTAAGGGGACAATTGTCAGGGTCAGGAAAAGTTTAGAATGTGTTTAATTTAACTTTGGGCTCTGTTTTGTTTGGGTTTTTCGAATACTACTTTAGAATTGGGCCAATTCTAAAGTAGCATTGGGCTTGTCATTTTTGTGGAGGGATATTTATTAGATTTATTTAGGGGTAGTTTATTCTTGGGTTTGGGAATTATGGACATGTGGATGGATCCCTGAAAAGAGCAAATCTTCCCACGGACTGCTCCCTCGGTCATGACATCGTTGTGCACCGCTATTCTTCAGCACATGAATTCGTTCCATTCCAGTCAGTATGTTTGTGCCTGCTGCGTGACGGAACACAGCACATCTTCATTCTGAATTGTCAGCACGCCTGCCACTCCAGGCACAATGCTTCAAGCAAGAACACTTGGGTGTTTGGCTTGCTGAGGCTCTGTGCTTCCCACCCGCGGACTGCCAGCAACTATTCGGCAAACACATGGGCACAAAGGAAACAGCCCAAAGCATGCCAAGGTCGAGCACCTTCACTCGGCCGTCCTGCATGAGGCCCAAAGGCAGGAAGCTGGCGCATGGCCGCGAAGTAGCCCTGCGCCTGCATTGGAAGGCGGTTGCCAGGGCTCCCTCCCCCGCACATGAAGAATGGGTTTCAGGGGCTAGCTGAACAATGATTGTGTACTGAGACCAGCATGATCATACTTGCGAACCATGCGTTGGAACTGGCACATGTTTTGAATGCTCAACATGTTTGTGGGCAGCCGGCACGTTGACAACCGCATACACGTTATTCCACGACGATGTGTTGAAAATGCCGGCTTTCGGCATGTTTTGTCTGCAGCATTCTGCATCGAGACCGTTACACTTGATCCCGAGCCTGGCTGTGTTTTTGTTGTCTACTTTTTGTCTTGAGCAACCTTGGGCGACATCGCAGCTTCTTCATCCTGCAGCCGCCTCCCGCCACCTGCAGCCGCCTCCCGCCACCAGTCATTCGCAGCTCATTCACCGCAAAACAACACATCATGCTGCGAAGTGTCCGCAGGCTTCGCAAATCTGCCAGAGGGCTGCTGCAATTTAGGTCACAGCCTGTGCATGAACACAATGGGCAACCTGCCAACCCCTCAACGAAGTCCGCGTAGAACTTCCCAAAGCCGGAGTCGAGTTTAGACGAAATCAAAGGGCTCCTGAGCGAGGTTCTGCTGACCTCGTGTACTGCCGCCTGCTTGACATATGTTCGCAACTTGTAGCCCGTCTTGGCTACCAAGAAGCCAGCTGCAGGCTGCGGCAACCCAGCTTCAGGCTGCAATCATCCCCTTCCGTGTCTCCCACATGCCCATAAGGTAATTGTTTAAAGGTGCTCCTGAAATTCTCAACCGTACACGTGTGACTCAATGCATGCTAAAAAAGTCATAACAAGGGGCAGCCTCCAGACCCATGTTGCGCCCTTCCTGCGCAGCCAGGGCCTCGCCCATCCAACCCCTCTTTGCGCCTGGCGCAGCACCTGCGCCGCCTGGAGCAGGTCCCTTTCCAGGGCCAGGTGTCGCCCCAGCTCGCTGGAGATCCTCGCTGGGCGGTTGGCAGTTTGCTGTGGGCATTCTAATTGGGGGTTGCCACCCGGAAGCTCATGGGCAGAGAAGATGTGCTTGTTGAGACGTTGGTTCTCCAACCTGTAACACTGCAGCCTCCAGTTGCTGAGCCCATGCTGGAAATGAGTCACGGCTGAAGCACATCATGTCGTTAAGGGCACTCAGTTGCTGCCCCTGCTTCGCACACCATCGCCCCCTTTTCGCCCGCTGCCCAAACCATACCCAGCCCACCATGGTGCGGCCCAAGTGGCATCATCAAATAGCGCCACCTACCATCTCCGTGCATGCAACCAGTACTTCAGCACTTGTCTCGCTTCGCTCGCAAGAGCAACAGTAGGGGGGGTGCTTTGATCAGCAAAACAATTTTCGTTGAATTGGCCTCAAGTCCCCCAGAAATTCCCACCAAACCCCACTCCAGGTTGCTTTTTCTTGGGAACCCACAGGAATCCACCAGCTTCCCGTGGGATGCCCCCAAACCGCTGCCCAAACCGCTGCTCAAGCCGCACCGCTGAAAGCGCGAGCCTCATGTGGCAGTTCCGCACGTAGAACTCCTGCAGGCCCAAGGCGGGGTCCGTGCAGCCGTTGAAGGCTAAGGAGGCCGCGAAGAAGTCGCAGGCCAAGCGGCCGGTGATGAGGTTCACCTTAACCGATTCCGCTGTCCGAGAAAAAACTCTGTCGCTGTTCTCTGTCGTTTGTTGTTTGTTTGTTTGTTTGTTGGTGTTGTTGTATCATATATGTATCATATATATATATATATTTAAAATGTATGTATTTATTTAGTTATTTATCTATATCTATATATTTTTTGAGGGGGGGAGGGCGGCGACATAAGCAAAGCACAGTTCTGTGTTGTCATGTCCTTCCCCCGAAGGCACCCTCTAACAGGGACCTTTTGAAGGACAACTTCTTCTTGGCAGAACTTTTGCACTTGCATGCTTCGGGGCCGGAGGGCAACATGGAAGGTGCCGTCTGAGAACGTCTTCTGTCAGCTTTCATGGTGGGAGGAAGGTACTATTGATTCTTGTCTTTTGGGGCATGACCATCCGCAGCAGCTTTGCCCACTTGGGGGCTTCCCTGGGCTTAAGATGTTTGAGCATTCATGGCTGGCCACCGGCCCCCAATGAATGCCAAATGACCAAGTCATTCGGCATCCCCCCTACCTTGAGGGGGAGGGGGGTGGGGGATTCCACAATTCCATTTGTTCAGTCGTGTAAGCCTTGCCCTCACGATGCCAAGCCGCACGGTCGCTGCCAGGACCTTCCCACCACATCCAGGAATACAACGACATGGCCACCGCGTGCGCCAGTGCCGGGACCCGAGTCGCAGCATCCACCAGTCGCCACATCTGGCTAATGAGGTTCTGCCACCTGCGATTTGGTTGCCCCCGAGGTGCCCGAAGTGGCGAAAGAAACAATCTGCATTTTCATGTTAGTTTCGAAAGCTGAGTGAAGGGTGGGATCCCCAAGTAAAGGACCTTTGTCATGAGTGAGCTCGTGCTACTCCCAGATGAGCTCGCTACAAAATAGGCAGAAACAATAATTCAGGGCATTTTCAGGGAAAGGGCTTTCGGAGGTATGGAGGTTTACCCACTTAAGGAGTATGTCCTGCTTTACCAGCCTACATTGGAAATCCTCTTCTTAGAATCTTGGTATTCGAACTTTGGGCATGGACGGTCAGCGTGTATGCCTGATCTTGACCTGACTTGAACTCAAGCTAGGCCATGGGGAACAGGAAACCCTTCAACCGGGCGCCAACAAATGATGGGTTTGGACATGGCTTGGTGCTCTGCAATGTGCCGGATCCAGCTAGCTCAGAAGTAGTCGGCCACGATGTCACTAGTGAAAGTCGTGAAAACAGTGGTTACTCAAACTGAGTAGCAACTGCATATCTAAGAATTTTCAGAGGCAGCACACTTGCGCACCAACCGCTTCTCTGGGCCCAAACTAAATGTGCAAGAAGACTTCCTTCGGATATCCCCCCTACCTTAAGGGGGAGGGGGGTGGGGGGTCCCACAATTCCGTTAATTCATCCTTCCAACCACAAAAGGGAAAATGGCTCACCCAAAATGGAGATCTCCAGGGGTCGAAATCCCCCCCCCAATTCCATTTTGAAGGGACCCGGTGGGGATCTTCGGATGCCTCTCTTCGTCGAAGCCGCCGCGGATGTTTCGGCACTGCAGTCCCGTCTCGTCGTGAGTGCAGTCTGCGGACTGCACGGCTGAGAAGAAGGCCCGCTCAAACCACCTCGGTTTTGGGGACCCGCGAGGCGCTGGTTCTACTCAGGGTTCCACTTTTTTACTACCCATAGACTTAAACCCAGGCGTTTCCCTTTGGGGGACATCAACCTGGTTTTAAGTCTATCTTGGGGCACTCCAAAAGTGGAACCCTGGTGCTGCTTCCCGCGTTGGAAAGGACACCGGGGTCGCGATGAAGGGGCGCTGGAACCTTCGAAAGGCTCGCGGCTTTAAGTGCGAAGAGCCGCCTGGTCACACATCCCTCCCAAAGGTCTTGGCCTCAACGGGTAGTTGGTTTTTCTTTCTTCTTCTTCTTTTTTTTTTTTTTTTGGGGGGGGGGGGAAAGCACGTTTGGTGGACGTCAAGTTGGGGATTCATGTCCACCAAGCACTTGCGAGGCAGTTCCCTTTGAAGAAAAGCGGAGCTGAAATTTCAAGAAGCCGCAAACCAACTCGAAATGAAACTCAGCCCTAAACCCAACTCCAAGCCAGCCAGAGCAACCCTGTACCGCCTGAGCAACAGAAACCGAGCGCAAACGAGCGACAGAGCCCGTCAGAGTCCGCCGCTGGATGGTGTGGATTGGTGGTGTGGAGCACGGCTAAGGGGAAAGCTGCCAGATCCAAGGCAGGATACTGTTTGGGTGAAATTCTGGGGCACAGCCCTTTTGGGTCAATGGTCATTGGCAGGGAAGACAATTATTTTACTGCGGATGGACAAGGGAGTCCACTGTTTGTTGTTATTTGCAGGGGAATTATCATTCCAGGGTTTCTTAGGTGGTGCGAAATGGATTTCGTCCATCCACAGTACAATCCCTTCCGAAGAAAAGTCAACAGCGAACCCCCAGCCGCGTGGGCCGCTGCGTCCAGTTCACCGCGCAAAGGGAGCCGAGCCGCTTGTAGATGGGCTGGTCATTTTTCTGGTCCTCCGTGGTGGACAGCTCCAATCCATCCAGCAGAAAAGTCTCCCCCCAGACGAGAGCTGGCAAGAGCACCCAGCGCATGGAGCGCTTAGGGAAATCTCGCTGCTAGGCCTGGATTCTGTGACATCTAGATGTGGCTGCCCCCCTTAGCTGCGAGACCCAAACCTTGAAATCCCAAAAATATCGACACAGTTAGCAGCGGTCTACGTACCACAAGCAACAAAAAAGCAATAAGCTCAAGGCATTGGTATACTGAAGCACTCGTGCGATATCTCTCAGCCTAGCTCAAAGCAACCAACTTTGGGAATAGCCCTTGCATCATGCGACCTTCAGTTTACCTGCTGGTCCAACAAGGCACTGCGCGGCTTGATGCATGATGTGCCCAATTGCCCACTGTTTACCAGAAACATGCGACTGTCCTGGGTGCCAAATCACGGCCCGGCGCTGCGTGCCAAGAAGATTGTTTGCCGTGCACCCCCATCATGTCCGAGCCGCTCGGTCCAAAAAGCAGCTGCGGGACCCACCCAATGCCATGCTCAAGGGGGCGCCCTTCTCTGAGGGACTGGGGTCACTGGATTTACTGGTGGTGTCCATTGAAACTGCGACTTTTGGAGGTTCCAAAAAGGGAAATGGAGGAAACCCGAAATTGCTGGACATTACTTCCCGCCAACAAGATCCACGGCCGAAGGTAGATTAGACTTGATAAACCTACCTAAACCAACAAACCCAAACCCGAGCCAAAGACGTTTGAGTAGCAAGATAATGGCAATTAGGATGTTTCACTAGGAACGTCATGTTGCAGCTTCAACAGACACCACTTGACACCACCAAACTGACACCAGCCTTGAAGGATTCCTGACTGATAAACGCGCGCCAAAAGCCAAACAAAGATATGAATGCCTGGAAATGCCTCTAACAACAACTGATGCGTGAAGTCACGCGGCCCCTTTCAAACTTACAAGGCAAGGGTTTTCAGTTTGACACCAACCTCAATCACAACTGTGTCCTCAAAACTTGGGCACAGTTGGACAAACGAACCAGCGGGGATACGGAGGGAGCGGGGACATGGGGGGGATTCCCGTATCCCTGGTGCCCCCTGTATCCCTGCTAGTTGGTTTCCCTGACACGGGAACATTTGTAGCTCGGCTGAAGCATGCTTGATCCCTGCTGGAACCTAGATGGTTTGCAAGCAGGAGAATCAACGGATCTCGCGGTGCATATTTCCAAAAAGAAAACCACAAGCCTCATGTTGTCGCCGGCATGGGTTCCCTGGTCATTACTCACCCAAAGTATCCCACTGTGACAAAATTAAGGGGCATCATCTAGCTTTTCCTAACCTGGACAGGTTCCCCGGAAAGAGAAAGCATGCACGATGAGTAAGGTCAACCTTCCCCCTGCTAAAGTCGCTACAATTCAGCCAGAATACCTCCGGAAGTGGTTCACTCCGGTGCCGATTCAATGGGCTTGCGCACACTTGTCCAACGCATCTCAGAGCAAAAGATGCAAGTGCATTGACAGTACAAGCGGTGATATGCTCATGCAATGTGCACAGCGTGAGCAGGGTAAAGCAAATAGCTTTCCACTCCCACGATGGCACAGGCACCATTGGAATCGATTTCGGGCACTCAGTGCCTTTGCTGCCCAACGGTCTTCACAATCATTCAGTAACAAAGCACAGGGATCCATTCGCTCTTCTTTTCACTGCACATGGCTTGGGCAGCAATCCAGCTCGCATAGACGAGTGCCGCTGCATGGGCTGAACACCTTGCATGCCCCGACAAGGTACATGCCCCAAATGGCCCCGGAGATATTTGATAACAGGTTTTTGGGGGGCGGCACGCGAGTGGGTCCTCAGAAGAGGTTCGTCTTCTTCATGATGCCTTAGTCCATGTTCATCATCATCATCATCATCACCATCATCATCATCATCATCCTCATCATCCTCATCATCATCAAGGGCAAAACATGTAACATGATGATAGCGCATCTGCCCAAAGACCTAGAAATTGAACCTTAATAACAATTTCCTTTTGGGAAATTGACAAAACCACAAACCAAATTGAAAAATGTGAACTGAAAGGGTGTCGGGTCGGCTTTGGACAACTGAAGTACATCGGCCGCACTCAGACCCGCCAAAAAGTGCACTTCTTGCTGCTTGAAAGGAAACTGGACAAACATCAATCAGATCCGCAGACAGCTAAAATGTCAGGCTAAGTCTGACAATAAAATGTGAGTCTGGAAGTCAACCAACGGGTCGGCCTTTTGGGGCGTTGACTGCAAAAGGACCGAAAAGGACCCCGAAAGGTTATTGTGGCACACCACTACGACAAAGGAGGCGACTATGCCAAATCTGGGCCAGACTATAGACCCCCTTCAAAAAGTTGCAATGCACAAAATAGTACGCCAAGTCCGGCAGCAGATAAAACCAAACACAAAAACGGGAACTGCCCAAGGTGAAAAGGTAAGAAGTGCGGCAACAAAAAGACTGAAGATTCGGCTCAAAAAGGGAAGTCCCTTGTTGAAAGTTGGTGTTTAAAGGGCAAATGCCGGAGATTTGTGTGGGTGCTGTAGGTCCCCCAGCCAAAAGTTTAACTGTTTGCTGGTTAAAAGGAAAGTATGAAGGGAATCCAAAAAGTTAAAGTCTAAAGATCCAACCCAAGTCCGGCAAGAAAAAACAAAAAGCGGGAACTGCCCAAGGTCAAAAGGTAAGAACATGTTGTAAGAACACACTGATGAACTAAACAGGGAACTCCCGACGCTGCAGAGCGGTGGCACCAGCCTGTCCCCCTAATCGTGCCAACCAAACTTACTCACTCGCAAAGATGCCGGATAAATTTCTGTGGGCCCAGCTGCGCAGGAACTCCTCCTCGTTCACCTCCCCGTCCCCATCGCGGTCTGCCTCGTCGATCATCTCCTGCAGCTCCTCGTCGGTCATGCGCTCCCCCAGCTCCTGGCGGGCCCCCTCTCATAGCATTATAATGCCCCAAGTCCCCAAGGCCTCAAAACACAACCAGCGAGGGAAGCCCTCAAACCTTGTCTCTCAGAAAACTCTGAAGGTCCAAAACCGCCCAAACTCTTGGCACCCCTCCAATAGTGTTATGTTATAATGCCCCATGCACGGCGGGGCTGGTGGTCGGTGTTTCTAGGGGTTTCTAGGTCTATTTGTTTGGAAAGAACGATGGCAAAACTGACCTTCTAGTTTGCTTGCAAAAGGAATCCACCAGAAAGCTGAGAGGTCATGAGACCCATTTGGAAACAATTGAATGGCATGTTTCTGGTGCATAGGCGTCCTTTTAGGGGAAATAGATGGGTTTCCCTGGTAGATTTGCTTAAACCACCAGGTAAACCAGGAATCGCCCTCTACTTTCCTACACCTATGGTTCAGTGTTTCTAGGGGTTGATGTGTTCAGTGTTGTCCAGGGGTGCTCGTACACACCCCTTTTACATACCCCTTGGAGAAATGAACCCAAAAGGCCTGCTGATGTTCATACCCCTCTCCCCCAAAAACCGGCCGTTTTCAACCATTCTTTTCACCCATTCTTTTCAACCATCGTTCTTTGCAAAAACCGGATCCGTTTTCCCTGGGTCTCCGGAGGTTTTCTAGAAAGAAGGATCCCTGGAAAGAATGGGGAAGGTACCCCTAGAGTGCTGGGAATGAACCCGGACTCCGTGATTCTCTAGGAAACCATAGGGAAGGTTTAGGGGTTGTCGACCCCATATCCATCAACCAGTTTAGTAATTTGGGAGTGGTTACCCGTGAAATGTGGTTGGAATCACATTTTTTGTTGCAGGGGAACACGCCCTCAGCCCTCTAAGAAACTGGTTGTTAACTTGCTGGTGCAATAGGCAGGGAATGACCGAGTTCGGGTGTTGGGACTCTGGCGGAGGTTGGGGTCCGCCGGGTGTGTGGGGGGTGCCTCAAACCGAAACGTCATGAGTCGTATGAGTCGTGACCTCTTGATCTTGAATCATTGGGCATCGAAAACGGAAAGTCGCGGAGGCCGAGCCTCCCAAGAGAGAAGCTAAGGGTCCTCATTGGGCATCGAAAAGGATCGAAAGTCGCGGAAAATTAGGGAAAGCATGAGGCAAGCCTAGGCCAGGCAAAGGCCGAGCCTCCCAAGAGCGAAGCTAAGGGTCCTGGAGTGGGAATACAATGAAAACTCGGTGCATTTAGCACTCCGGAATCCGGACATGTGCCGAAAGAAGAAAAACAAGTGCGGCTCTTGGATCAACGTGCTGAGTGTCACCTAGAGCCTTTTCTAACTGGGGTAGGGTTTGTTTAGAGCCTTCGGGGTGGCTCATGGGGCATGGCCTCATCCAGAAACGGCTGCAATCCGAAGCCCTGCCACGAAAACAACTGCGAATACAAAGGCGGCATATCGCGGGGTCGACGCTGGAAAATGAGCACCTCTTTAAAGAAGCGCTGTTTTTCTGCCAAAAAAAAGAAACGGGGAAGGGAGAGAACAGAAGAAGAGGGCGGCACATGACATACGGAAAACCTAACGCACATGCAGCACTATACATGCATCATCATGCGTGCAAGCGAGGATGCATGCGCGGCGCCGCACATTACTTTTTGGCGTGGCCCGGTATTTTTCTCCTTAGCCACACGCTTGAGGTTCTTGAAGGAAATCTTGCCAGTCTCATCGTCATCGAAAAGCCGGAAGGCCTGCAGATTGTAACCATCATGGGTGCATTTGTGTCAATCAAAGATCATCCACCGGGCTGGGGAAGGACAGGGCTGTCGATTTCTGCTTCCAGAGCCAAGCTGTCTTCAGTGAGTGGTTTTAGCCGTCTTGCTTTCTCCCTTGCTGGTGATTCAAGCTTTTCCAACTCTCAGCTGAAGGCAAGTGAGAAATGCAACTGCATCAGGACCCCTGACTAGGCTTTGAGATCCAAGGCAATGAACGCTCTCTGGTTGGCGAAGGGGCTGAGTCGAAAACCCAAGTGGAAAAAACAACTGAACCAACACACTTGGTGTTTTTTGGCGTCGAGCGAATGGAGCATCCCCAAGCCCTGGTAGAAAGGCATACCGGAGGCCTCACAAGCGAAGAGCTAGACCTGAAAGCCCAAAAAAACAC